GTGCCATACATGTTTTCTGTATTGTGAAAGTAGTAATAGACTTATTGTGTGTTGTTTCTTGTTTATGGATGCTGGTATTGTGTTTAGTGTTATAGCTCTGTCTATATCTACTGGGTGAACTGTACCTGCTTGTATGATTTGTTTAAGTGTAGATTTAGTCTGAAATATTGTGTTGCATGTCAGATATAAATGTTGTTCTGTCTCATCAGCCCCTGTCCTACAGAGTGGACATTCCATTTGCCTAACCCTGTCCTTATATGGTCTTGATGATAATTTCTTCCCCAAGACGGCCAAGAAGTGTTAAGATGCCTTGTGGTCAAAATCAGGTTATACTAGAAGCCTCAAAGCGGAGGACTCTCCTTTCAAAGTCAATAAGCATAAACTCGTGGTATATTAGAACCATGTATGAGACAGGAAAATCAGGACTGGTGGCGACAGAAGAGAGTATAGCCTTGTGTATATAAACTATTGCAATTTAATTAAAGAAAAATAGAACTATAAAAACGAAAAGATGTAAGAGATTTTTTTTAATGAGAGTCACTTCCCTTATGCTATAACATGAAAGTAACCATCCTCGATTGGCACGTTGTTGTTTCGTCTTCACGTCGTTCGTTAATTTTTTTGAAATTGGTGTTACTTGATTGTTTGGATTGTTTTAATATTAATCTTTAAAATGCCAAAAGAAAGAATTCAAAAAAAATCTAGGGTCCATCAACAAGCGGCTCAGGTACAGCGTCAAGGTAGGCTTGCTGAAGTCACTGAAGAGTGACTGTCGGTGTCAGTATCAGTACCTCTAACTCTAGTCTATTTCTATTTATTTATCTATCTGTGTTTATGAATGTAAACACCACCAAGCCACTGAGGATAAAAATCGAAGTGGCTCATTAGATTAAATTGTTTATTCCAGAATTTTATCTTAGAAACTTTCTACATTGTATATACAGCTACAATTTCAATTAGTAATTGTAGATGCAAGAACTTATAAATGACACTTGAACTTGAATGTTTAGTTTGCAAACATAAATCAGTTTATCTCATTCATAACTTTAACACTGGGCTGGTGGGCTGGGCAAAAAGGGTCAAAGCTGTTGTCATAAAAAATAATGAAGATTTGGATGCCAACTATCAGCAATGTGAGCACAAAGTTGACATATTACATTATTCATTATTCTTCCGAAAGATCTGTTTTGAAAATATCAGTGTAACTACCTTAATCTATTTTTGATAAATGCAAAGAGATGTCACCATCACATATCACACGGCCGCCACCTTGGTTGCTGCGACCCGTGAACTTTTACGGGTTCATGGGTCACGGCAACCCAGATGGCATTCGTGTAAAAAAAACATACATAAGCTAAAATGGGGAAGGAAATTAGGGGAATGTGCTGTTTTGAATAAAACGTCAAAATTTAATTAAATAATTTCAGCCTGTACATAATTTTCGGGGCAATCGAAGCTACTTTATTGTATCCATCTAGATATTCTGCAAGAAGCACCATTACCTGCAGTCGCCCCCTTACCTCTGGTAATTTCAGCAGTTAGATTCTCATTCCCATCAACTAAAATACATTAGCTGCTACAGTTACACATTGCAGAAATTGACCAAAAGCAGCATATACATCAGCCATGTGAGCAGGGTGGGCTATATGTTACAGGATGTTTACAAAATTGAGATTTTAAAATGTTTTTTTATATTTTATTTTAACAGGTATATCTTTTAGAACTGAAATAGGCCAGCATATTCTGAAGAATCCTATGATTGTTACAAATATGGTTGAAAAGGTATTTAATAAAATTACTTGCTTTGTCTTTGTGCATTGTAGAGTGTTGATTGATTAATTACTAAATTTAAATAATTCATAAAAATAATAAAAAATAATAATTGATGTCATAGAAAAACATTTTTTTTTAATAAAAATTCAAATGTATTTTAATTTTATATATTTCCCATTGGCCAGTTATATAGAGTTTACACTGGCTAACACGTGTGTGGGGTGTATGAATTAGTTAAAACTTTTAACAATACAATGTAATGAATCCAATTATAACTGAGAGAAGCTTCACAAATTTCTAAGGGTTATGCAACTCACTTAAGGTAAAAAAAAAATATTGTTCCTTTCAGGACTACGAGATATGAGCATTAAAAGTTATTGATAATGAGACATCAATTAGTTTTATTCTAATTATTTTCTAGTATCTTGTTTTTTTACTTGCACTCATTGTTTTCACTATATGAAAAAATAAAATTATGTGTTGTGCTGTAAAACAGGAAAATCTTTTCAACTGATAATGCCACAGTGAGTTTCAACTGAACGTAGGGCCATAAATTTATAATTCAAAGTAACTTATTTCAGAAGCAGAAGGAGTGTTAAAGTATTTTGTCTGAGTCGTCCACTGCCATCCTTATTTTCAAGTTCTTGGGGGACATTGAATATATATGCCGGACAAAATCAATTGAGAAAAGTTACAATTTTTCATTAGCTGGAAGTGTCTTAAGAGTTGTTTGATGCTTAAACCAAGGGTATCTAGTGGTTACTTTTCCATTGTTTGGGAAACTGTATCATGAGACAAATGTTAGGGAAGACAGCCAGAATTGAAAATGCTAGTCTTTCACAACTTTTAAATACCGGTATTTCAATTTATCAAAAATATTTTTATCCTATTTTTTTAAAATTTCAGGCTGCCCTGCGACCCACAGATGTTGTGCTTGAAGTTGGGCCAGGCACAGGTAACATGACAGTCAAATTATTGGAAAAAGTCAAAAAGGTGTTTGCTCATTTTTGCTTCTAATTTTGGTTGCTGATATAGCAGAGAAATAAGCACAAGCTGAGAATTAAATATATAAAATTATCAATGAAAAATGCATAGTTGTGCCATAGTTTAAGTTAAGTGCCCTTTCTGTTGATATTTTTGTACAGGTAGTTAAACTTAATCCATCAATAAAAAATATTATTTACTTAATAATGTCATTTTTATAAGTTAAATGTGAAATGAACATATCAATACCAAGTATTTAATTTTTGTTGTATCTCCAGATAATCATGTAGCTGGCCCTTGCTATTTCACTACATTATAATTTTAATTTTAGAGGGAACATACAAAATAAAATGTTAAAGAATTCAGCTGGTTTTATAGCCATGTATACAATTTAATTTTAAGTTGTTGTTTTTTTCTTGATGCTCTGTAGGTAATTGCTTGTGAAGTTGACCCCAGGATGGTTGCTGAGCTCCACAAGAGAGTGCAAGGAACGTAAGTAACAACATGTGCATTAAAGACTTTATAAATTTAATCAGCTTGCTTAGCTAAGAAATTTAAGCATGCCTAATGTAATATTTGGTTTATATGTTCTTAGATGTACAAGTTTTTGCAGTTATTAACATTTAAAAGATTATCACACTTTTCTTTTAAAAGATACCGTAGTAAATTTCTTTTAAAAACTGGAATTTTTTTTTAAATTCTGAGACCTTTAATTTTTTTTTAATTTTTTTTTATGTTAAATTTACTTAAATTCAATGTCAAGAAGCTCATGAAAATTTATTTTTAAAAAAATTAAATGAATACCAGCACTGGCATACCAAAACATGTTTTTTTGCTCTACAGACCAGAGGCTGCCAAGCTACAGGTGATGGTTGGAGATGTGCTTAAAACAGATCTGCCATTCTTTGATGTTTGTGTTGCTAACCTGCCCTATCAGGTCTAAGATTTTAAACAGTTTTAAATTACAGAATTAATTAGATTGTTGCTTTAAAAGTCTTAATTCTGAACTTCCTCTGTTCTTGAAAAATCAGGATCATGTTGTAAAAGCTCTTGGCACGGTTCTTTACAAACTATAAATGTGAAGTATATACTCACATATAGGTGAGCACTCTTAGTATGGGATTGTCAAAGTGTGTATTTGTAGTTGACCCACAGATAGGTCACATTCTTAGTTTGGGGAGTTGGCCCCTTTTTTGACATAAATATAATGAATATTTGTTAACGAACCTCACAAAAAAATTTTCCAAGACAACTTGAAAACTGAAAAGTAATCATCAGAAACAATGTAATTTTTAAGATAAACCACATAAAAGATTTTTAAAGCCGATTGCCCTCTGCTGTTAGCAAGGAATAAAATGATTATCCGACTTTTAATTTGCATGACTACTCCACACTGAATAACAGTGAGTAAGCAGAATTGAAGTTGAGTGGATAGGCTGCACCCGTTTTTTATATTTTGGTTTTATAAAAGTGTGACCTCTACGCAAGTATAAATGGTAATCACGTTTAAATATTGTGGTAAAATGGTATTATTATCATCATAACTGCCCAATTTTTAATTATAAGCAATTAAATTTTTTTGCAGATTTCCTCTCCCTTTGTTTTCAAGCTTCTTCTCCATAGACCATTCTTCAGGTAAGTAATGGCAGCTCAGTACACATACAAGAAACACTACGAGACTACGAGGTGCTTATTTTAAAATAATATTTTCATTTACAGTACAGTTAATTTTTTATATCTTAAATAAAAATTGGCACAAAATTTAATGTAATAGGGCTAGTATAGTAATATGGTTTTATACAAATTACAAAGTAATTTACAAGAAAACAAATAAATATGCCTAATTTGTCAAGTGTTACACCAAAAGACTAAAACAGCTCCAAAAGAAAATAATTATGGAATTAAATATATCTTGTAATCTCTAGTTGTTCCTACTGTCAAACTTGTAATGTATCCATAAATTATTGACTCAGATGTGCTGTGCTGATGTTCCAAAGAGAATTTGCTCAGAGATTAGTTGCTGAGCCAGGTGACAAGCTGTACTGTCGTCTCTCAGTCAACACACAACTTTTGGCAAGAGTTGACCATCTCATCAAGGTCTTTTTTTAGTAAATTTTTTTTTTTTTTTATCTTTCTATTAATGAAATATTTGTTAACGCATTCCTTGCTGTTGCGACTAAAAGTTTCATACCGGGTGTCCTGGTACTACTCTGTCATTGTCATTAAAGAGCAACGAAATCACGCTTACCTGAGACTTTCAATAAAGAACCTGGAAGTTTTTATCTTGTTTCACTTCTATGTACACTTTATTTAGTACAATGCCAAAAATAGATTTTTGGTCATTGTTTGATATTTATTCATCATTAATGTTATATTTTTCTTAAATGTTAATTTGTTCCTGGATTTATTTGTCCTTAATTTGTTAAAATTAATTAAAAATTAGCAGCTAAAAAAATATTTCCTTTGTTCATGAATATGAATTATGTGTAGATGTAGCAGAGTCCTAGGGTATGCTTTAATTTTGCAATCATTTTTCTTTCACTTTAATTCCAGAAACAGTACGGGTAGTGAAAACTTGAAAAACCATTAGTTAGTTCCAAGTTGAAATTATTTGATTATGTCCTGTTTTTGTGGGGGCAATTAGCTGGGAAGAATCCAAATAAATCTGAATGATGGGGGAAAACACCTTTTTTTTTTATCCATTGCATTTATGTTGATAAATTCTTATGGAATATTTCAAACTTCTAAATTGAAATAAATTACTTTTGATGGGAAACATGATCATGAATACCAAACTATTTGCAATTTTGTTCTAAAGGTTGGCAAAAATAACTTCCGCCCTCCTCCGAAGGTGGAATCAAGTGTTGTCAGAATTGAACCGAGAAACCCTCCACCCCCTGTCAACTTTAAGGTGAGAAACCCTCTACCCCCTGTCAACTTTAAGGTACCGTAGCTTACACATTTATTCAATGACACTCTTCAAAGTTAAACATTATTGGGAAATGGAGAGGCTGCTGTACTAAGATGATGAACAGAGTGGCACAGTCTATAAATAGTGTTTTTAAATACCTGCATCTCAGATCTTGAATTTTGGTTTTTATGCAGGTGAATATTAGTATCATTTTTTAAAAAAAGAATAAATATAAATGTGCTTTTGTCAGGCCTATATATATTTTATAAATTTCAGGAATGGGATGGTTTAGTAAGGATATGCTTCTCAAGAAAAAATAAAACTATAGGTGCTTCCTTCAGGTAATTTGTTTCCTTACATCTTACGTACTTGTACTTCAATGTGTTCTTTCATTGGTCAGAGCACAACCTGCACTCATTTTCAAATTCTATTTTTGACTACTTATATTGTTAATATCATGTTTATTACATTTCCGTCACATTTAATTTTAAGTACAACAGCCGTAAGTATTAATAATATTGTTTATGCTAGCATTTCCCATCTGCTTAGCAGTGAAAGAAATTTGTGATGTCACATAAAAACCAGCCTTTGGCTATTTATTTTTCTCATTTCCCTTTAATCCAGGTTCACAAAAGTGTTGGCAGTTTTAGAAAAGAACTATCGAGTTTCATGTGCTGTAAAAAATATTGTGAGTATGTACTAGAATCTTTTGAATAAATGATGAAACTTTTGATAATATTAATGGGGAAATTTTTTTAAAATTCCAGGGACTGGGAAATCAGAAGAAAAAAAAACACGGTTTTTCAGCAAAAAACGTCATTTTTTTAAAAGTTTAGGGAAAATGTTTTTTTAGAACTCGATAGAAACAAGAAAGCGTAATAAGAACATTCTTAAGAGGAGAAAAAACTTACTTAAGGTGTCCATTCAACTGACATGTGCATTCTACATTTCTAAGTGATCCCGTAACCCAGCCAGAAAGAAATTTTGTTCATTGGCCTGTAGATTTCTTTAACCATATCAAATTAATCTTAATAAGTGAGCGATTGCATAGTAACTTCGCCCGTTTTGATTGCGCCTACACATTCTTTGGATAAAACTCGTTGGCGTGTTATTATTTTCAATTTATATTGGCGATAAATGTGTTTACAATTGAAATTCTTCAAATCTGTTGTGAACAGTTTACCTTATTTAATATGCCTGGAGTTTGTTCTTTTAATGATGTATGGATGGCTCCATAAGTCAGAACACAAGTTTTGGTTAAAAAGTAGTGGATGACAAGAGGAAATCCTGTTGCAATTTAAAAAAAAAAAAAAACACAACAGATATCTCATCGGTTGGTGAAGAAGCATTGAAGAGCCATGCATTGGGTAAGCTACAGTAACTTAAAAATTGAAAGATATAAACATGTCGATTTTACAGACTCTTTTCAGGTTTATTTTCTATAAAAAGTTAAGTAAGCTACTAATTTGGCTACTACTACTACTAAAAATTTATATTTTCCAGACATAAGGCTACCATTTAAATTTAAATTGCGATTTTTAGATCTATATCAGGACTAAATAGGAAATTGTTTTTTTTTAATTTTAGGTAAAAAGAATGAGAAAGCTGCTATTAGTATTAGTGCTATTTCTTTGACTGCCAATTCTGGAATATTTAAATAGAACTAATAATGCTGACCCAGCAACATCACCATGACATGAAGGGCCTCTCATGGACAGCTATCAACAGCAAACCTGTTTATATTCATCCTTTCTGCACAAACTTGAAAGTGATTATTGCTGAAATCATTTGGGAAATGACATGTCCAAAAAAAATAGTCATTACGGCTTCAATTCTTCCAAAGACACTCTACATTGTTTCAAGGCCACGTTTCCTACTTGTGAAATAGGAGTTGCCATCCAAAAAACAAGAAAACAAAACCAAAAAAAAGCATTGGAAGCAGATGTAGCCAGTCTAGTTAGCGTAGCCCTACAGCAAGGCCGAAAAGGTTGACCTTAAAACAGACTTCTATCTGCGCTTCAAATGTATTACTAGTTAATGCTAGTAAAGTCATCAGATAAGGAGAATAAAGTCCTAAACTCCAGAAACTTATCGCTGACAAAGAGAGAGACCTATAGTCAAATAAAAAGTGAACTATTTTCATTTTAAATGCTGTATTATTGGTGCAACTATTAAATGTCAGGGTATATAAATCAAGCTGAACACTTTATGTTCAAAGACAGTGGAAACAACTAGGCAGCCAGGACATTTTTAAATGCCTTATGATTCATTATGTTTCAACTATTAATTAAAACAACAAATTACTTCTTAACTAACACTTAGCTGAATCAAATGTATGTAAATTTGTAAATACTTTTGTGTTATATCTCTACAAGGACAAGCTTGCTATTTATAGATATATATTTTATAAACCTATGCTATAATTAGGTGTTTGTTTTTTTCTCTTTAGAATATGGTACAATAATACACAAGTCTTTACATTTTTTTTAATAAGGTCTCTGAAGGTTGGAGAAAAGTTTGTGAATTCTAGGTCCAGCCTGTATGAAACAGTAATAAACAGAAGAGATAGAGATACATCAAAATCAAGTTGAATTGACACAAGATATTCTGATTAGAAAAGAACTATAAGAAAAAGATACTGATCCTGTCCATGTTGTATAATTTTTAGGGGTGTGCCGGAATCCGGTTCCGCCGGATTTTGCACTATCCGGTGAAATCCGGTTCCGCCGGATTTACATGTATCCGGAACAACCGGATTCCGGAATCCGGAATATACCGGATTTCGGAATTTGCCAGATTTTGTGACTCACCGGATCATAATCTGAAATAAAAGTAATTCTCTTTCCCGAATTCCACACGATCACGATACATTAATCGATTGTTTCGAGCGTTGAGCTTGTTTAATGTTTAATATTCCGTACATACCAGAGGCTAGAGTCAGCACCGCTAATAGTGGCCAATAGTGTAGGGACTTTGATAAGAAAATTTAAACTTTTTGTAAAAATAAACCAATGGCATAGTTGAAAAGATGTAATTTTTTAAAGAATTATAACACCAAAATCATATTTTTAGCTGTTGTAGTTTTAAAGTTATGAATTTTTAAAGTACGACTTGGTTTGTCATTTTTTAACATGGACTGCATCTCCACATTCTGTGATCTCATTCCACCAATCCCGTCATGCGCAATGACTATATAGTTTATATAAGGCAACGCATTCCCTGCCTTATCACTAAAATACTGTTTAGACTTAGTTTAAACTTTCAACTTTGGCACATGAATAATTAATTAAAGCTTTCCCTGACCAATGGTTTAATAGTTTTTGCACACGGCAAACTCTTATGAATGAAACTCTGAGGTAGTACTACGATACAGTTATGCAAGTGGCTGTGAATGGTTGCCAATGACAACGTGTTGCACACGGTAAATTCTGATCATTTATAATATGGATTCTACCGGGTTGTTAAAGCTCAAATTAAAACATTCCAGTTTAAATGTCTTTAAATGCATTCTGAAACACAAGTTATCAATTATTTTGATGTAAATAGTGATAATAAATTAATATTTCCTAAGTATCGTCAACTTCCGCCATTAAAAAGGGGGGCGTGGCCAACCCCATGGCGAAATTAGGTTGAGCGAGCTGCATGACCTGCTGCGAACGCGTAGAAACATGGCGTCTCTCGTAAGACACTTATCCAAATGGAACGGAACTCAAATATATATCGAAAGTACTAATTTAATAATAAATAGACACACACATCGGAAAATTAAAAACTCGGATTATTCCGGATCCGGCGGATTTCGCATAAGAAAATCCGGATCCGGTTGGAAAAAACGGATCCAGCACACCCCTAATAATTTTGTTTTATTTTACTAGCAAAAAACTATTTTAACATTTCAGATTGTTCCAGATGATTTTAATGTAAAGAGTCAAGTCACAGAATTGTTACAGACTAGTGGCTTTGAAGAAAAGAGAGCACGCTCAATGTCTATCGATGATTTTATTGAGTAAGTTTAGTCAAGTAATGTACTATAGAACCAACATCCTGTTTAAAAAAAAATCCTAACTTGAGGCAGACATGCCATACATCTATGAAATTTAAATATGTGTTGAATCCTGGCCATTTTTAAGGATATGGTCTGGTATGCAACAATATTTATGTCCAGATCACTTTGTATGCAACTTGCAAGCTAACCAGAGTTAAATGTTTGCTGACCTGAGCTAATTTGGCACATGTGCTTTCCCATGCAGACCAAATAAGACATGCAGGCAACATTCAATAACCCAAATCTTAAAGACCAGTTGCATGATTCACTGGCTTTTTTACACTTTTCATTGCAGGCTGCTGAATTTATTCAATGAAGCTGGTTTTCATTTTATGTAAAGTTAAATGCTGTTACAGAAGTTATCAAGGGCCTTGACTGGAACAGGATACCCAGGAATAAGTGCAGGGAACATTACATGAACATAGGTTAAGTCTTCTGGTAACTTGAGCTCTATTTGAATACAGGACTTAAAAACCTTTGCCCTATATCCCACTCTATCCATTTGTGAATATTTTGTAAATCATGCATAAGACAACTGCAAGTGGTTACCAGAATAAAATGGTACTGTTAGTAAATATTGAAAATTTAATTGATCCAGTTAAGTTGCTAACAAAAGCAGACATTGGTATTTAAAGTAAATGTGTTTATTTTACAATAGTGGCAAATGCATCATTTTGTGAGGTGTGTAGTAAATAAAATTTGTTTTTCACCTTTGTTTTACTCAATTTTATCTGCATTTATTACATTTCATATAATGTAAATAAAAATATGTAAATATTTTAAAAATCATTAAAAACGATGACAAATTGTTGGGAAATAGTTTTCTTTCTCTGTTCTTTAAAATATTCATCGGTATGGAGTACCAAGTGAATAAAATGTGTTTATTTCAGTGAATATGATTCATATTGTCTTTAATATTCAAATAGAAGAATGCACAATATACCACAGCCTTTATTAATAACATAACTCCAACAATAACTAGTTAAATAAACCTCTATACAAAACAATACTTTGAACATAGTTAATAATATAGTTATCATATGCCTCCTTCCATTACCAGATTACTAATACATAATTGCTCTCAATGTTTAAATGCCAGTTGATACTGATCAATATGCAGAAGTGAAATTTCTTCATTACTTAGAGCAGAACAGCGGTTCTCAACCTGTGGGTCACAACCCCTTTGAGGGTCGAACGACATGAAGTGGCCAAGAAAATTATTTTATGGTTGGGGTCACCACAACATGAGGAACTGTATTAAAGGGTCGCAGCATTAAGAAGGTTGAGAAGAGAACCACTGACTTCGAGGATTACAATTATCACCTCTAAATTATATTTATTAACATTTTGTCACTACAGGTTATTTTATATATATATAACTATTATTCCTTTGAAGTGATCTATCAATCCCTACTGTTGGAGACCAAGGCAACTTATAAAATGCTGACATTAACAATAGCTTCAAAATAAATAAAATGTTTAAGAGCATCTCATATGCAATTTTGTGACTATTACCACAAAAGACTAGCAAAACATAATATTATTACTATATACACTCTGTGGGAGGGTAATGAAAACAGGACGTACGAAGGGCAATTTTATACATTTTTAGAATGAAAAAAACCTTAATAAATCTGTTCCTTAAATCTGTGCTGTAAATTTGATATAAAGACCATTAATTTGCACCCATTTACTTTCTATTAAGGAAAGGACATTTTGAAAAAAAATTGATACTGATGATACAAAGGGTGATGAGATTGGGCAAAAAATAAAATCTGTCAGTGTACACACAGAAAAAATATATCAGGGAAATGATAGCAAGGGACATTGTCTAACATCCTTCATTTTACATACAGGTACCTACAATCACTAACATTAAATGTGTTTGTAAAAATGTGGCTCAGGAGGTTGTTTTTTTTTCTTCAAAGCTTCACCTTTCATTCAATAGGCTCTTCTTTTTTTTTTTTAAACAGAAAATTAACAATGGTCTTGAGTTGTGGGTTATCATTTCCCAATATTAATGGAGATTTTAATTTACATAATCAGATCATAATAATAGAGGCAATAGAAGAGACATTTTTTTCTTCCCATTTAACATATTTCCAGACTAACCTACTATGGCTCACAGTCAAACTTTACTCCTTTTATAATCTTCTCCAATATTCACTTTTCTATTATGAACCAGGATGTTTACATCAAGTTCATAACTCAAAATAATATGTACAAATATAAATAGAATGAATTAAGAAATGCCCTACTGGTTGCAAGTCACAGGAACAAGATCACATATCAAACATGGTTTTTTCACAGTTAACATTCTGAAAATTAAGGTCTTTATTTTCAGTAATAAACAAAAAAAAACTGTTTAAAAAGAGAAACTAGGAAATAGTGGATAATAGCAATGATAATTTTGTTGGAACGTGCCTCAGATATATTTCTTAAATAAGGGCAGACATTGATCGAAATGAGAATACAGTACTGAATGTCTCAACGTATGTCTAATTGAATAGGTGAAACTTACTTGTACAGATGGAATATCTGAAATACATGTATTTGGGCAATTACAAAGCTTATTGTCTTTATAGATGTTTTTGTCATTAATTTTTTTTTTTGTTGTCAGAATGACTCACACTGAATTTTAATGGTTAGCTTTTATTCTCTTTTAAAAAGGGAATCTCTAATGCTGAAAAAAAGTTTAAATCATTTTCTGTAATTATTTGAACAGAGATCAATAACTTGGTAAATAAGAGCTGAAAGTAGTGAAAAAGTTATTAAAAAGATAAGGAAATATTACCCCAATTAGGTAACTTTCTTTGGTATTCATTTTTAAATTGAATAATGAGTAGTATGATATATCACAATGAGTTAGGGTGGGAGTAATAAGCTAAGATATGAACAATGAGATAATATATGGTCTAAATGAATAATAAATATCTTTCTACAATACATGATTAACTGACATGATCTCCTTTGATATCAAATTATCACCATAATCCTTTCATTTAATCAATGCTTGAGGGAGAAATTCCCAGACAGCCATTTCCCACCTTATGTGGTGCTATAAGCTCTTGACTTGTATGTCTTATTAAGAAAATGTCATTGTTAGTAATGTGCACGTTTGCTCTCAGACTCAGAAGCAATTTTTTCAAATGGATTCAAAGGTGACTGCATATCTTGGGCTCACCTTCAAATCTCTCTTATGCTTTGTTGTGGAGTGTGAAGGAGAGATGAAGACATACTTAGTTTACACTCTTTAAAACCTTAGGATATTAAAAATATATGTTCAGAAAAATGTTCAATCCGCATCCTGGGTGGGTGAGTGGGGTGGATTTTCTGACATTGTGAAAATAAAAATGTTCAGAAAGCCATTATGATGTCAGCAGTTGCAGGCTGCCTAGTATTAAATTTAGTTGAATTGGCAGAGTTCAATATCTTTATTTGAGAAGTCCATTTCTGCTATTGTGTTCCGGTAACTTTTAATTTAAAAAATGTTTTTGAGCTTTCATTTGCAATAGTTCGTTCATCTTGCAATAGTTCGTTCATCTTTAAAAATCAGAAGCAATAACATTTTTAAAATGTTTTATTTAACACTAACTGCAAAATGTCAATGGGAAGACTTGGTAATGATCCAGGTAACCCAAGCAAAGTAGACTTTCTTAGGACTTAAGAAATTTTAAATTTCACATAGAAGATTCCTGCCTGCCAATGAACAATATTTGTTGGGCTCCACACCTGTACTGGATTAGAAGCACAAGATGTGTTGTTCTCTATGGTAGACACACCTTGTACTGGACCAGTTAAGTGATGAACCAAATTTTTTAAATTACTGGTCTTAATGTTTAAAACTGGCATATCTTTTAAGCACTAGGTCGTTTGCATCATCAGCAACACTTAAGACACTGCCATGATTGGGTTAATTAATGCCATACAAGCAAATTTTGACAACTTTCAAAGGAGGGAATCAATATCACTTTTATTAATTATTTTTCAGAAAGTAGAAATGGGATTTAATCTTTATAGTCATTTTTTCTTCTGATTTTTTTTTTAAACGTGGACAAATTAATATGAAAAGGTTTGAAAGAAAATCCAATCACAATATTTTTTAGTAAAATTCCAACATGGCAAGAGTTTCACAAACATGGGTTGGCATGGAAATACATAATGAAAAAAGACACATTTTTGTGTACTGTCAGTAAAAACCATTACAAAAGAGATGTGGCACAACTTACACACTCCAGAGCATAGGGAGAATTCAGTTTTGTGGGTTATTAATACCCTTTTTGTGCTCTTATTAGGTATTTTCAGTCAGCCTTTTAAATATACCACACACCTACAAGAGGGAATTGTTACAAGAATCCTGGCTATGTCATATAAATATTTAAATATTGTACAATACCAGATAAGTGCAGAGTACACCTGAAATAATATCAAAATTTGCAGAAAACAACTTTGTCTAACTTATTTCTTATAACTGATAGAAACGTATCATTCATCATTAACTCTAGTTATTTACAAGACAGTCCACACTCTTATATTAAGCTATACAAGCACTGTCACACTACACATTTAAGCCATCCACTGTAGCATATTCAATAGTTTCACATGTACATTCATTTTATTTTATTTAAAGTCATTTGCACTGGCATCCCACAAGTTGTAACTTTTATCAATTATTTGTTCTGTTATAAATAACTCCATAGTGTTTCAATAAAATACACAACAATGATGATAGATGAGCAGTCTGAGTGATCATCCTGAGTCCTAATTACAACACTTATTAGTCCACAATGTTAAATACTAGTTCCATGACAATGCCTTCCTCAGAAGCCTGATGCACTATGGGTACAAGAAAGGTGTCAAGATTATTGATCATTGGTGCAGGCAGTTGCTGACCTCTGGAGCCAATCTCATATCCCACCTACAAAGAATGAAGTAATAACTTGGTGAGGAAATAAACGGAGAAAACTGTTTAATCTAATGACTTTCTGGTCCCTTCTCCAGAATTATGTTGTATAAAAATGTAACAGCATTTTTATATTTGTTTCTGCAAACTGAGGAGATGTATTTCTGTGCTGGAATTAATTTAAAATCAGTTATCTAAGGACCTTACAGGGAAGATCAATAAATATGAAAACAGATAAACTGAGGCATATAGTATTATGGGACACAACTTTGCACAGGCACATATTTGATCTGTGTTAGAGCTAAGTCTCCTAATTGTAATATAAGATATAACACCCAGAGTATCCTATGGAAAAACCTGAAAGATCACACAACTAAATGATGAATGTTTCAACTGAAAAGCCTTCAACAGCAAACCAAGAGGGACAACAGAAAGATAACTTTCAAAACTTTTAAAACTTGCTAATAGTCATTGTGATCCTCATTCATTTCTTATATTGAATATGATTTGAAAATAAAACTGGGTAAATAAATTAAATATGATGTTTAATATTTAGAAATCTTTTCATATCTTAGACTGCTGTCTTGTTATAACCAATATTAATAATTCAAATGTTAAGGGATTTATAATTTACTAGGAGAAACCTGCTTTTCAAATAAGTTATTGATACTGGTTCTATTAAATTTCTTTTCGCAAGCAAAAGACAAAGTTTATTAAATTTATTGCAAATGGTCATTGTATTTTTTTCATTTTACATAATGAATTCAACTGGCCAAAATGTTTTTAGGCTCTTAAATATTATTTTCTGTAATGAATTAATGCTATCATTGAAATCCAGATATCAATTAGTAAAGATATGATGTGAAAAAAGCAATCAAAACTTACAGAATCTCGAGTAAGGTTGACTCTCAAACCGAGTTTGACTTGGCCTTCTTTCTTGAGGTCATCTAAATGCTTGACCAGTGCAGTGCAGCAAGCCTGTGCTATGTCCTCTGTTAACCGACTCAAATCCAAGGGATCAAAGTGACTAGAAGTGGAATCTTGGTGTTGAAGGAAATACACCCTCGTCCAGCGAATGGCCAGAGTCTCACCAAAGAAGTCTGATGGGGATTTAACACTTACACTCTCCACACCCTCTAACGATGTTTCATCAATGTAACTCTTTACACTGAAAAGCAGTGGCAATGCATACAAACTATTAGCTGAATTGTTTTGTTAAATGGTAATATAATTTAATTTTTCCATTTCCCAGGTGAGGAAGTAGATTAGGAATAAATATATTAATTAAAGCAATTTAAGCTAGCATGACTATATCGAACTTGATTACCCTTTCATTGAAAATACTAAAAATATCTCTCGGACTATGCAACTTTTCGAGAGAGCGCATGAAACAAAATCGAGAAAGTAGATTTATAGCAGAATATATGCCTGTGACAAGACGACAACACATCTCTTTCCAAGCAGCAGACAAATTTTTGGATATGTTGAGAGTGTTTAATGGTTATACACCAGTTGACTTGCAAAGCGAGTATCCGTGTTTTAGTTAATTCTGTATGGATATTAGGTTAATGTTTTTTTTTAAGTTGGATTTTTTTTTTATTTCTTAGTATGGTACCATATTGGTTGGCATATCATTTGGCATATTTTATTTGGTCAGCTTATGAGCAGATTGCAGTTTTTAGCATTTTCCCAAGCTAAGGGTTTTGGCTCTTGAAAATATGGGCTTATGAATGAGTGTATACAGTACTTTTCATGTCAGGGAACAATCTTCTCATGAATGCACATAATTTATACTAAGTTATTAACTGCCTTGAGTAAGGACTCCATGTTGTGACTCACCCAATGTTAAAGTTTCTGTCATTGTCCACCCATTTCAGTTCAACCATTTCCTCCACTGTACTTGAATCTGTTGGTCCACATTGAATAGTGTAGTCTGTCATATCTTTGAGGGCCTCTTTTATGCTAACCATTGCTTCTGGCAACACTTGAACCATCAGACCATCTTCAACGATGCTGGATTTGGCCCGAAGTCCAGAACTCGCTTTAAGGGCTCCATTGAAAACAACAAAACTTGCCCCTGTTACTGTAGGATGAAAATGAATGATAATGTGACATAAAATTATTAACAGATTATGTGCGTAAAACCGCCCTGCTCTTAAAAAAGATACTAATTTTAAAAAGCGTCTTTAAAACATGAACTGACCTAGCCTGGGCTTGTTCTGTATGTTGATTGCTTGTGTCTGGTAATTGCCATCATCATTCTGAATACACACCAAATGTGAATCTGCCTCTGAGCTGAATGAAGATCCAAATGCCATCACATGTTCATTGCTGTTCCTCACAACCTTCATCACCTGTTGGAGAAATTACATTTCTCACTTAATTATTTTACATGACATTGTGAAATACCAAAAATGTCAGCCAAAATCAGTTACTTGTAATAAAATTCAATGTTTATAAATTATTAAGATTTAATAAACATGATTAGACAGAATTGCCAGATGATTAAGAATAACTTAAGATATGTCAGTTGGAAGGTTCAAATTATGTTGGAAAACCCCAGATGAGCCTTGGAATACTTACATCATTGTATCTATTGCGTGGGAAGCTTATCACTGTCTTCTTGTTCTCCATGTGTATTGTTACACCTCTAATTTGGGTTAACATATATTGATAGTTGCGAAAGTCTGCCAGCAAGTTAATGATGGTGTGGCCTATTTCAAAGAACACAGGCTTCCTGTTCCTGACACCGACCAGTGGACAAGGATAATCTGTGAATCAGCAATAAAACATTGGCCAATCCATGCATGAATCAAGAATATGTAGAATGACATAGAGAAAATGTTTTCTGACTTACAGATGGCACTTAATTCTACACCCCTTCTTCCTTTTAACCTCTGATATTTCCACCTTTGATGGATATTAAAAATGATAAAAATTCATTTAAGAACCATTTAAAGACTTTTTTCTTTAAATAGATTTTAGGACATCAGAGTGCTGTGAGCATGCTAAAAATAGCATGGACACAAGCGCTATAAAAGTACTCAATCAGCATCATCATATCTGTATTATTTGGCTATCACAAAAATAAACTTTAATGTACCATTTAGGCCAGTATATAAACTTGCAGCTTGGCAAATAAAAAACAACTAGCTTAAAAACTATGTTTTGTTTTTGCAAAACCACAAGTTTATATATATGTTTAAACAATACAACAAGGCAGCATGAAACCTTTCTTACACATTCACAAGACATCATGGTTTAAGCAGAAATCCAAACTTACATCTGTACTCAGCTCCTAGTCGAAGCATGAGCCGTATGGGGAATACTTTGGCCCAAGGCACCTCCCACTTTTGTAAAAGTATTCCAAACAGGAAGGGTGACTCTGGCAGTGGAAGTTTGTTCAAACACTGAAAGGTTGGCCGTAAATACAAGAAACCACCATGTTCTCTGTGTCCCAAGAAATTCTGGTGGAACATGGAGTGGCCCATGTCTTGGATAGGATAACCTGGTGAGATCCAATTATAATTGATATTAGTAAGTACTCAATAGCTAAACTAATGCTCACATCTTTATCTGTCTATGTCAGTGATCCCTATCTTAATACACCACAGGTGACATTCCCAAAGTGCATTTGTGTAGGAGTATACAATTAAACATTTCACAGCTTAGTGGTTAATATAACATTAAATCTTGATCGAGGAACATACTTATATTCCATAGTGAAATGAAACACAAAAATGTAGTATCAATATAGAAAAAGAAGCAAGTCACTTGTATACAAGTAATTAATTGATGTCCAGACATCCTTACACACGATACCTTTAAGTGCTTCCTCATATACATTATGCAAATGAATAAACATATCTCTAGGTGGGGACAATGATGGACTGGTCATTTCTTCCTCAGTCAATTCCAGCAAGACGATCAACTCACTCTGTCCAGCTGTGTTCATGCCCCGCGTAACAAAACACCAGCAAACTCTATTCACACAACAATCCACTGATTGAAACAAGCAATATTTCATTACCTCATGTAACAAAACACCAGCAAACTCTATAATACATGTTTACCCCCAAACTCTTAAAATCGTACAATATCATCACAAAATCGTTCAATACATTATCTTAATAGTAAAAAAATAAACGTATGGTATTTATAATGTCTACCCTCAAAATCGTACATTGTATGCCAAAATCTTAAGAGTAAACAGGTCTGCTCTATTCACACAACAAGCCACTGCTTGAAACAAGCGTTAATAATAACTATCGAAGGCATAATATATTTGATTTACTTTATATCTTACATGAAAACAATTTTATTTATTTCTCATCTTAATGAAAATTAGGCTTTTTTCAGTTACTTAATTTGAAATAAAAATTGCATTTGAAACAAAAGTATCCATTTATGTTTTATTTTTTAAATTAAACAGATTGTATTTATTTTTTAAAATTGTACTGAACAGATTTAAAAGAAATATTTAATCTAATTAAATTCCCTCTATCATATAAGTTTAAATAAAAACTTATATCCAATGAAAATGAAAACAATGGGTACCGGGGTTTGTTAAATGACATAACAGTGTTGTAAACTTACAATTCAATATTTTAACACCAACAGCCAAATTTTTGTTGGCAGCATAGAATATCAATGGTCCTCCTTCAGCTGAAATGAGTTTATTAAGCATTGAAAAAGTTCATCTTTGATTTTATGTTGGCTTTTTAATTTATTGAAATCAATTATTACAGGGCATGTTTCCATGACAAAGATATAGTGTCACAGTACTCACATTTATAATCAGCTGTGTAGTCTATCTGATTGAGTGCCTCATCCCTTTCAATAAAACCTGTGAGATGTAAAACAGCTACATCAGATATGACAATGACATTATGCTAAAATATACATAGATGACAAGAAATAAATAGATGACAAGCAAAAAAAATAAATATGCAAAAGTTGAAAAGTGGGTTATAAATATGGGTTCTTTGCTCCTTGTATTGCTAAAGGTAATTCACAAATTCTTTCCCTTTATTCCTGTTTGAGAAATTTTTTACAGCACATTTCACTACTTGTCATTTCTCTCACTCTCTCTCTTGATGCCCCAAGACATGTAGGGGGAATTGGGGCACAGTGGATCAGAAATCTTTTTTTTTTAAAAATATTTCCAAACGTTTTCACAGATATTTTAATTTTGTATGTGCATATTGATTGTATTACATCATGGACTTGGATAGGAATCCTTAAAATGTGGCTAAATATAATATACTTGCTCACAGAGCGTTTCAAAGTGTGCAGGGGTAAGTGATTCACTGTGCCCTGGTACCATCCCCAACAGTTGCATTTTTCTTGTTTGACAAGATAGTGACTTTCACATGTTTCTCAGTGCCTGCCAGACGCCATGGGTGTCTCACCTTGATATAATGTTGGGGTGGTTTTAATCAACAACATCAACTCAGCCCATTCATACACAGAGACAAGTGGTCACCCGGGTGGTTTTAATCAACAACATCAACTCAGCCCATTCATACACAGAGACAAGTGGTCACCCGGGTGGTTTTAATCACCAACATCAACTCAGCCCATTCATACTCAGAGACAAGTGGTCACCCGGGTGGTTTTAATCAGCAACATCAACTCAGCCCATTCATACACAGAGACAAGTGGTCACCCGGGTGGTTTTAATCAACAACATCAACTCAGCCCATTCATACACAGAGACAAGTGGTCACCCGGGTGGTTTTAATCAACAACATCAACTCAGCCCATTCATACACAGAGACAAGTGGTCACCCGGGTGGTTTTAATCAACAACATCAACTCAGCCCATTCATACACAGAGACAAGTGGTCACCCGGGTGGTTTTAATCAACAACATCAACTCAGCCCATTCATACTCAGAGACAAGTGGTCAACCGGGTGGTTTTAATCAACAACATCAACTCAGCCCATTCATACACAGAGACAAGTGGTCACCCGGGTGGTTTTAATCAACAACATCAACTCAGCCCATTCATACTCAGAGACAAGTGGTCACCCGGGTGGTTTTAATCAACAACATCAACTCAGCCCATTCATACTCAGAGACAAGTGGTCACCCGGGTGGTTTTAATCAGCAACATCAACTCAGCCCATTCATACTCAGAGACAAGTGGTCACCCGGGTGGTTTTAATCAACAACATCAACTCAGCCCATTCATACTCAGAGACAAGTGGTCACCCGGGTGGTTTTAATCACCAACATCAACTCGGCCCATTCATACTCAGAGACATGTGGTCACCCGGGTGGTTTTAATCAACGACATCAACTCAGCCCATTCATACTCAGAGACAAGTGGTCTCCCTTTATGAGCCAAAAGGACTGCTATAAACCTTTTTAAATGACATTTCAATTTAGGATCAGTGGGACACGCTGTAATTTGTATTTTGTTTCAATCAATGGTCAAAATGAGAAACTCACCTGAATCTCCCTGAATGATATATAGTGGAGGCAAACCTTCCTCTGGTAATAAACAAGGACTCCGAGAAAGACTATCATCTTTAATTTTCCGAGCTGGTGGGGATCCTTAGAAAATGACACGAAAGAACCAATAAAAATTAGTTAAGATAGCACTATTCTTTATAATTTGAGCAAGAAAAAAATACCACAATAAAGCCAAAATAATCAGGAAAACTAAGTTGCCATTTATAATGATAAGCATTTACATATTGATGCTATTTAATCATAGTATTAATTATATGTAGTACTAGTAAATATCATGAAATAGTAAATATATGCTCAGGGGGAGAAAAGGAAAGGGTTTAGAAATAAAATAATTTATTTAAAAAAAAATTATTATCTCTCTCCTTATTTCCCATGTGTACCAGCCTACTTAACTCCTACTCCCATGCTAGAGTTTCCAGCCATTTTCACAATAACATCATTCGTCCTAAGAAATTTGAATGTTTAACTTGTTTCATTTGAAAAGAGTTTAAATAACATTACTCAAATTATGTTTTCATATGATATTCTAAAATTTGTATGAATTACTGGGAGACAAGAGAATTTTTTTATGTAAAGGAAAGAAGGGTTCAGAGTTCAGTTTTATGCAAATTTTCAAAGAACAAAAGCCATGTGAAGATGAAAATTTGGATGTAAGAAGATTCAATAACTACAATATGGGATACATAGGAAAGTGGAGTGATAGGAAAGTGGAGTGATGGGTTAGCTTGTGTTGTAATGTTTTGTAGATTTTTGGGCAAAGATATAGATTGTTTAACGTTGTTCAGTTCATTTATCCTAAGTCTCTTGAAAACAAAATCTTGTTTTTGTTAGTGTATTTATGAACTTCAAACTAACCTTGATGGGCTCCTCTTCTCACTGCCCTAGCAGAGCGGCGTGGTCGGGTTTGCTCAGGCCCATCCAGTTCTGTCAAATCTCCTCCTGGCCTAATACCATCAGAAAACATTACTTGTTTGGGTTCACCTGTACGTTTTTGACTACCTAAATATAGGATAAAATATTCCAAAAAAACACTTCAAAATAATAAAAAGTTAACAAAACGACCATAAAATCAAACATTAAAAAGGTCAAAACTTTGATAGTATCCCTTTCAGAGTCTTAATCTCCGCCCTAACCACTCAACTCATTATTATTTCCATGCTAGATATCTACTTTTCCATAACTCCTTAGTATATACATGCTTGATATCTACTTTTGCAAAGTTAAGTTTTAAAATCAAAATTTCACTCAAAGAATGAAAGGAATCATAAAGGATGCTTGTTTTTTTTTTAAACTGCAACTGGTCTAAACAAAGAAGTTAGTTTTGTTAAAAGGAAAATTAATAGATCAAAGATATTTATCATTCATCAACATTTGACTCAGAATGATAATCAAAGACATTTGCGGCAGGCAAAAGCAAAATAAAATGAATGTGGACTGCTAAAAGGTTATGAAGCTGAGAAAACCAAATTATATTTTTTTAAAGAATTCTATATCCACGATAACACGATGTAACTTTTAGACAATACTGATCGGAAATGGTTTTAAACCCTTAAATAATCATTAACAATCTAAACAAGTCCAAACTGATTTGACAATAAATGAAGTGAATTGTAGAATGACAATTTATTGACAACTTTGCAGTTTTGTAGCAACGATGCAATATTGGATACTTGATATACTTATGTAACACTATGATTTAAATTTTCAAAATTTAAAAAAAATGAAACATTTGACTACTAAATTATTACAATGTTTCTCAAAATGAAGAGATTTTGGGGCTCTTCTTTGAGTCACTACCAAATAATACAGCAAAGTTAAATAAGGATGTTTATCACTTCAGATTTTTGAGAAACACTGAGCTTTTTGAGAAGCATTGATTTTTGAAAGTACTGAGCTTGTTATGACTGACCTGAAGGTTTGAGTACACCTGTCGGCACCATAACAACCGGAGGGCTGGCATGACTGCTGGCCTGCTGGTTGGGTGGCACTTTAGAACAGTACTCATTAGGGTTGTTAGGATTGGGGCGAGGGTTGGCACCAGCGCCAGGGGCTGCGGAGGGAAGCAGGGCAAAGCGGATCAGATTAAATTAGTTTTATTTTATTGTTCACTAACCAAATTAAACGGAATTTAAAGTTGAACAAGAAGCCATCTCAACGCAGAAAGAAAACTGATTTAAAAAAATAATAAGTTTCACATTTAAAGAGTACTAAGTTTCTTTTTATTGTTATTTTTATTGACAAAGCCAGAGTTATTATTATTTTTTTTTTTATGCAATTTTTTTTTTTAAAAGAGAGACACGCCAACAAACACTTATAGATAGAGCTGAAGAGAAAATGCAACTGAAATTGGCATCATGCTAAATAAATAAAGCCAAAACCATGCTTATACCAACACATTATCATTTGTCTACCTTGCAGCAAGTATAAAAGTAGATTATAAAGTGTGTTTTTAGCATATTAACTTTCTTAGAAATATAGATTCACTGATAAATCTATAGTTAATTATGTTTAATTCCTCAGATACATATTCCACATTAATAATTGTTCTTAAAAGTAGATCTTACATACCAAAGGCATTCAACATTTTGGTTACTAGCTGTATTTTTTTCATCCACCCAAAAAGAATTGATAAAATTCATTTTTGTTTTACATGTTATGTTTTAGTATATTAGAGAAAAAGCAAAACAGTCACCTTTTAAAGCAAAATTTAAATTCATTTATGTACAGAGAAAATATTTTTCAAAAATGAAAAGATACATTGGTAAAAAAAAAATAATCAAATTCGAAGATAACGTGAAAACATTAGTGAAGGGATTCTGAAGTGATCTATGGTCTTTACCACAGTAGACTACCGCCTTAAAGAATTATCTTGGCAATGGTTCCCCAATTACAGATCATAGCCTAATATTTCATCTGTGCATATGGTATGTTGTATAATATCAGTAAGTTTTAGAAGTTAAATCTGCCGTTTCCCTCTTACATGATTATAGCTTTTCCCCTTTTACATTAGTATAGGTCCCGCAAAACAACTCCGTCCAATTGAAGCATAAATTTACTCACTGACCATCCCCCCAAAAAAAATTATTTATTTTTTGCATGGATAAGCAAAATAGACCCTAAGAGGCATACTGTAACTAAAAAGAAAAAAAGAAGCATTAGTTTTTAAAAAGTTATTAATATCTTACACTAATAAAAATGTCAAGAAACAGCTGTTACATTGGAACTTATCATTTACAGATCATTTTTTGTAAGCGATGAATAAACATTAACAAGGAAGGATAAAATTAAGATGTAGACACTGTTACTCACCCAGTGACAGTTGATTGTGACAATCCAGACACACACGTGCCTCCTTGTTTTCCATGTAGGGGAGTATTGCTTTCTGACTACAGCAAGATGAGCACAGTACCTGGGAAAAACAATAATGTAGCCAGTTTAATAAACGAAAAAATTAATTATGAGTGGAAATTGTAGATTTTAAATTTGATTGCTTTTAGTAATGTATCAATAACTATTGGAAGGGAAAAGGAGAGGGGGGGGGGTGTGAGTTGGAAAAAAGGCCACTAATAAAAAAAAAAAAAAAAAAAAATTTGTGATCAAGGTTAGTTTGTTTTTTATGTCATGTGGTAACCAATAGTGGTAATGTGTGAATTAAAAATTTTTGGGATAAAAATGTGTAAAACATGACATTAAAACTCCACTTTATTTCAGGAATAAAGTAATTAAGGTAAGTGCAGGTATTTATTAATATATAAAGTACGATAGATTAGAACTTTTGCCAATTATAATAACACTAATTATTCCCCAGAATATTTTTTTTTAAAGATAGCTTTTGAAAAAGTATAAACCATAGCTAGTAAACTAGTAAATGGGTAGAAAAATTGGTGTACATGGTAAAGCCACATTTTAAATAGAAACTTCAGTCATATAGAGATAAAATTTCCTTTTTTAAAGTTACTCCGGTTTCATCTATCCTTGGCAAAGGAACACAACTCTGAACAGATTTATTTTTTAAAGAAATAAAATATGAAAGTTATGGTAACATCTTTTTCTTTTGAAACATAAAAATGAAGGAATTATAATCACCATGTTAAAAGAATAATATTATAAAATAACATACAATGAATTTACAGTTTCAAAAGTTTACTGCAATAACCATGGTCACAGTCTGCATCAACTGCAATTAATGCACTGACACTAATTAAGCATCAAAATCACTTTCTGCATAAATGTCAAAAGGGTTTCAGAAGCAGGTTGGGGTTTTTTTTTTCAGATTTGACTACTTAGAATTAAGTCCATATTGTAGAGAAATGAACATCTCACCTTCCCGCAAGCTCGACAGTGGTGTCTCCTTTTCCACATGGTAAATTTGAGTTTACACATCATACACTCATTTGCTTCAGCATCTGGAATCCAGAATGGAGCCTGATAACCTAAATTACTCATGAGTGTAAGAGGCTGAGTTGTTGACATAATGACTGTGCCATCTTCTGCAAGTTCAGGTGACCTGTTGATAGAATTTATCTCATCTCCATTAGCCAAGTTTGACTGATCTTGAGGTTCAGCTGAGCTAGGTGATGGTTCATCTGAAAAATAAAATACACATATAATATGGAAAATGAAAAGTATAACAATTTTTTTCTTCTCTAACTCATCTCAAATGATGGAACTGATTACGTGAAGGGATGTAAGAACTGGGTGAGCTATCTAAAACCATTAATTCAATGTTGCAGTATTATTACATTTTTTTAAATAAATCCAGTTAATTTTATTCAAGCTATCTTCTTTTAGGTAACTAATTTACTTACAGACATTAAATTTAAGCTGCTGTCAGTGAGGAACAGTGCACTACCTAATTAAGCAGACCATCCATTGAGGGAGCAGTAATTAGACCCATGCCACCCCAACCCACTTAGATGAATGCATCATTTAATTCATCTGAAAATTACTGCCAGTAGAGTTTTTTTTACAAGTTTATGGGGTTTTTTTGGTCAATGGTTAATCAGAAAATTCATTCCAGACAGATGTTAAAGTGGATGGTTTGAATAAAAATCTTGGATGTGCTTATAGAACTTGTACCAAGACAAAGATATTCAGAACTTGAACCAAGACAAAGATATGTAGAACTTGAACCAAGACAAAGATATGCAGAACCTTGAACCAAGACAAAGATATGTAGAACTTGAACCAAGACAAAGATATGCAGAACCTTGAACCAAGACAAAGATATGTAGAACTTGAACCAAGACAAAGATATGCAGAACCTTGAACCAAGACAAAGATATGTAGAACTTGAACCAAGACAAAGATATGCAGAACCTTGAACCAAGACAAAGATGTGTAGAACTTGAACCAAGACAAAGATATGCAAATCTCTGGTTGTGCAACATGTTTCCCTTTTTTCTTCTGTGACAGCATCAACAACAAAAAATTGTTCACACGAAGACATATCAAAAGCCTTTTAAATTTATAAATCTTTCCTTTAAAATTTGATGCTCTGACAAATTCAAGAGCTTGATATCATGCACTTTCTTTTAAAATGTCTTAGCTACAAACTGTAGAGGTAGCAGTATCAGGAAAATAACTAAGGAACATCTCCAAAATGAATTACCTATTTAAAGATTTTTCTCACTGCTTTTTGTTATTCTTATTGAGAGCAAAATAAGAGCATTTAAAGAAAACTTAATTTTTATATTGCACACTTCTTACAGCTTTCAAAATAATTAACCCTGGAGTAAGGTAACATAAAGCTGATTGTTCAAAGTCACTTAAATAAATAAAATGTATTTTCATGACAAAAACTCTTACCTTCACGCTCATCACCATCGTAAGAATGCTCTATACTGAATTCCGGTCTGCGAATATTCAGTGATGTGGGCCTCTTTGTTTTCTGCCCAGTGCCACCCTGGTAGTTTTCTTGGGGTGAACTAGATAAGTCACTGTCTGCACCTGAATGAGATGTGGTAAAATCGTGAATGATTGGACTGCCATTTGTCATTTCTCTTTGTCCCATATCTTCAAGGTCACTGCTGGGCGGCTGTGATTGAATGGTCACATCTGGGAAATAAGCAGACTTAGGGTGCTGCATATCATCATCTATGTTGGAATCTCCCACCGTTTTCACAACTGAAGGCAGATTCAGATTCACTTTGGACAATCCTAACAAACTGTTGGGACGATTCTTTTTTAATGCTAAAGGATCTTTTGGTCTGGCACCAAGCCCCCCACTTAACACCGAATTACCTGTTTCACTGCTGTTACTAGATAGTGAGGGGGCTGGACTGATGGATCTCAAATCATGAAAAGCTGAGGAAACTTCAAAAGATCTTTCTTCAGTGGACGACAAACCAGATGTACTGTCTGAGCCTTGAGTAACATCTGGCTGGTTGAGACTAGTCATCAGCTGTGAGGGTTCAAGTTTGGTTGTTCCATTATATTTCATACCTTGAGCTTCCACAACTTTATCCAAAATACCTTCGATTTCCATTTTTCCTTGCAGTAAATGCTCCCCTATACCTCCACTGTCAACAGAATGAGCCCTTTCATGGGTGTCAAGAATGTTTTCAATTTCCATTTTCCCCCTCATTATTGAGCTGTAGACATTTTGTCTGATACTATCATGTGTTTTGGACTCACTTCTCTGGGTCTCATCAAAATGATTTGTTGCGATTTCTTGTGAGTGGATTCCAAGATCGGCTACAAGATCGGGGTCAGGATGGTGAAGGCTAACGGCAGGGCTGTCAACCCCACTTGCAGTAACAATCGTTTCAGTTTGGCTCATTGGATGTGAGGGAGAATAATGATCCAACTTGCTCTCTGCCTCGCTGAGTTCATCAGCTAGACTTCGACGTCCTTGATCACTACTTAAATCACTTTGAATATCAGGAACGTGACACTGGTCCACAGTTGCGACAGAAGTATTGTATTCTCCAGGTGTTTTTGAAGCGTTATAATTGCCTACAACTCCTTCATCTAGTTCATTGAGGTACATATTAACCTCGCTATCATCCAGGTCTTCATCCACAGGATCATAAAAACCAACTGTTTGTTCGGATACGTCTAATTTTTTATCAACATCAGGTGTAGTGGTAACAGACGCCTGCCAGACTTGTGAATTAGAAACTGAAGTATTGTTTACAGATAATATTTGGACAGAGTCCTCAGACAGGTTTTGATTTTGTGATGTTGAAGTTTGAGGCTGTTGCTCTGCTAGCACGCTAGTGTTTGGTACAAGGTTAACGGTATCCATGCTTGCATAAATGGGACTGTGGTTTTGATCTGGTTCATTGTAAGTTTTTGTTTGACAATTGACGGCAGTATTGCCGTGGCCATCAACAAGGATGTCTGATTTTGGAAATGGTGAGGACATCAGTTCATGTTCACTTGCTGGAGACAGTGCATCGGTCTGCACTTCAATGGGTTGATATGCAATAGTTCCTTTACGTTCAGAACTATTTGCAATCCCTTTACGATCATAGGCATTTGTAGATGTGTAAACAGTGTTAACATTCTCTCCATTTGCAGACACCCTGGTTAGGTTTGTAACAATCTCATTCTGGTTATTTCTCTTTTTTCCATCTGATGATCGGTCATAGCCATTAAATGAGAGGCTGTTTATCTGGTGGTCTGTAATAAAGCCCAGCTTACTGTTAGAGAAGCTGTCATAGGGGTCATCATAGGACACATTGGATGGTTCTCGGACTGATCGCCTCTCTAGAGTGTATCCACTGTAAGAAGGGAACTTATTGGGGTTCAATGCATTCCATTCATTTTCCGCCTGTTTTTCTAAGAATTCACTATACCCACTTGGTTTAAGTTCTTGACCAGGAACAATGGACAGGGCTTGCTTCTCTGAAATCAAAGAATTTAATTACATTAATTATAAATAGATTCAAACGTAAACTTATAGTTCTATAGTAAATTCAATTTAATTTGGAAACAATGTGCCAAGTGCCATTTGATGAGATTAGGCAATTTTTTATTTTATGGAAAAAACACTTGATAAGAACTAAAAACAACTGGCAAGGATCAGATATGTTGGTTAGTGGCAGACTTATTTCTGATGGTGCTACATGTTCTACCTTGTGACCCTCTAACTGACATGAACTGAAAAAAGGAATGTTACAAGACAATCAGTCATCCAGTTTCACTTGTGTGTCACCCCCTAATCACTTTCCCGGTTTTACGTTTGTTATTGCTAACTTGCATTTTGTTCATTGTTAACATTCTCATAACAGTTTAATTTTCATAAAACATTTTAGTTGATTGTTTCAAAAAATGTTATTTATTTCACAAATGTTTACATTTTGCATCTTAACTGAATACTTAAAGCCATATCTTACAACCAGTTTTGTAAGTTTTGTTCACCAGGCATTCTGACCAAATTAACAGATGTGTTGTCTTAAATAATAAATAAGTGAATTTTTCATTGATTTCATTTTGTTCTTTGAGATTTGTTCATAAATGATAGCCCCATCTAGAGTTACCGAAATTAAGAGGTGCATCCCCCAATATCAGCTTGCCAAACTAATTCTATCATATGTTTCTTTCATCCATACTTTGATTATGAGTTTTTTTCCCTTTCTGTTTTAAATGTATCTTTTAATGGGGTCAAAAACCTGTTACAAAAACCAGTAGATCAATCATTTCTTCTATAAAGAAAAGGGCATTTAAATAAATAAATATATGTATATTAATTTATCTAAATCATTTCCCCCCTGTAAGTAACTTTTTTTTTAAAGCCAATGACAAGTTAACTGATTCAATGCAAAACTGTCTTAAAGGTGATGATCTGATCATGGTTTAGTATTCCAAACATAAAACTATGTGTGTGTAAACTGTCATGATGTGACATAGTCAAATTCAAATAAATAAATGTCTACTAACTATCATTATAACTGTCAATGCAAAGTTTACACAACTGTTAACTATTCATGTAAAATGTCCACAAAATTTTATACAATACAAAGCCTAAAAAATTATTTTTCATTGTCTAAAAAGAAAGCTTTAAAATGTTTATTTTTTCTAGACAAAAAATGTGTAAAGCTGATTAATATTCTATGTCAAAATTAGTAAATTCATAAATCTTGAAAATTATGGCTTTCTTATTCAGTCTATTGTACATTTTCTGTTTATCACACTAAGGAAAATAAAGCAAGATGAGATGGTAAATTACTACTTTTTTCAATTCTGTCAAATTTATCTCATTTTCAAAATGTTTTCAAATTGTAACAGATTTTCTGCTATCTCTAGGGAAATGTAACAGTACACCTGTTTTTCTATAAGTTCTTAAGTTTCATTTAACATCAGGGATTTAGTTAACATGTTTTCAAAACATAACTACCATGGATAATGAGTGACTCTGCATTTAGCAAAATTTAAGTTTTTTCTTTAATGAAACGTGTTAATTATGTGATAAGGGAAAAACATTATTTGCCATATCACTCATTTATTATTGCTATATTCCCCCTAAAAGTTTTATCTTCTTTTCATCACTACATCAATATTACTCCATAAGTCATTATTCATAGAAAATACATTTTTCAATTAATTATCAAAATTTCTCAAAATATCTACCTTCCTCCTCAAATTCATCAAGTACTTTGTCCAGATCAACAAAATCCATGCTGTTTATTTTGCCTGCAAGATTTATACATTGCAATATTAGATAAACCCATTGAAAAAATGGCCTTGGAACCAATGTTTTAATTTAAAATCATAACATATTAATCATTTTTAAAACCATGGGCCTAGGTATTATTTTCAAAAGTAGTTTCTTTTTATGATCACTCATACACTATATTTAATTTATTGTAAATTTCAGGTATTATAAAAGATTTATTTGGTTTTTATAGCTAAATAATTGACAATGAAGCAAGGTTTTTCAGTTCTTTTTTTGTTTGTTCAACACTAGGATGTAAAGGATATTAGATTAAGGAGAATGATTGTCCTTTGGTCTACTTCTTCTAGAATTCAATAGTAAGTTACCTCACCTGCTAAATAAAAACAGTTTAATTTAATAACAGTCGAGGGAGTCAATTATCCTAGACATTAACAAATACAAATTAATCTTTGACTCATATTCCCTCTTTTTTTTTGCATTACCATTTTTCCATTGCATTAAATATATTGGAAAAAAAAGAATTATATTTAAAATATGTAAGTTGCTCTACTTCAAAATCTGTTTCGTGTCTATATTTAGGCCTATTTATTTTTTATGAAAACCTGTGTTAGATGTGTTGTAAAGAACACTCACAGAGGTCATGACTAAATACAATATGGTAATTTGAAATGAATATGTTATCTCCTTTTCTACTAAAACTCAAGATGAAAACCCAAAACACAAGGCTTTCAACATATTTTTCTTCTTCTTTTGGTGATCCTTTACTTTGCCTCTGTGGACTAGATGATGTGATACTACTAATACTAATTAATACTACTATTGATACTGATTACTTGTGTTACTGATACTGATAATTTCAACACAAAACCAATAGTTTTCATTTTTCTTTTAATCAAATCTGTAAGAAAACTTTTTAACTTTTAAGTACTTGAACTTAACTTTATTTTCAAGACTCTTTCTGACACTTACGTCGTACAAGACTACGAAGTTTATTAAGTTAAGTCTAAGTTAAGTCTAATTTAATAATTATTTAGCCCCAGCCCTGCCCTAGTAAATTGAATAAACTACACTAATTTAATTGAATGAATTGATCTATTTTCTATTTTATATAGGCCTAAGGCATAACTCATAATATTAACTTAATATGCAACTTTGGTGTAAATTTAAATAATAAAAATGTTAAACTAAACTTTTTAAAAGAAAGGCAAGTCAAATAAAAAAAATAATAATCAAATTAGTAATTTATTAAGTAAAAGTAAAAGGAATGTCAGTGATCTCTTAATTATTATTATTAAAAAAGACTATGAATATTGAATATTGACTATAATTGACTCAAAGCCAAGTATAGACTATAGACTATTGAGGCTAATATATATTCTATAGGCTACTATGTAGGCCCTAGCCCTAGACCTAGACAAAAATAATAAAACAGCTCTACAACCACTGAATAATGTCACTAACACTAATGAACTTTAACTTGATTTGATGATGTGCAGCGGATGTGGATCAGATACTTACTACTTACTAATAATAAGGTACTCTGGTTAGATAACAATAGTATAAAATGAATGCAAATAGGCATACCCTTTTTTTTTCCTCTTATGCATAGCGCATATTTATGCTAAACAATTCAAATTTCCTTTAAATTGATGAGCTTTGTCGATTGCAAAGCTTTCCTAAGTGAAATACTCGATCAAGGCGGCCATTTTCAAGACACAACATATTCGCCCCCTAGTGGATTTAAAGAAAGAAGACGGAAAGTGTGGGTTAACAAATCAGGATAATTTTTAATTTATAAAAATTAAACACCATTTATTATGACCATTGCTGTTATTTAAACTCAAACGTTATTCCTTACTCTAGGTAGCTATCTGTCTTCTTAGATAATTAATATGCAATCACGACAATCACGTGATCGAAAAGGGGGGGGGATATAAACATTTGTTATGAATCTCTTTATAATCACAATGACGAAATAACGTGTATGAACATCTTTGAAAATTGTTGGGCTTTAAGAAATGAACGCAAATATTAGATGAAGAACTTTTAATTTAAATAAGACTAAGAATGAACATCTGATTGAGTGGGATGAAAAACATGTCTTTACAATAACATGTTACATATGACTTGACTATGACATACTCTGTTTATGGAACAGAACAGAGAAAGATGTCCACTCTTGCGAACATTCTATGATACAAAATAAATACCTTTAACTCTATAATATCGTCAGAAATTTTAAAGCGTATAAGTATATCAAAAAAGTATAATAACTATAGATTTAAAGGTAAAGGTTTGATGAGGGGGAAGTACCAGGGAAAATCGTATTTTTCTCGCTCTTACTTTGGTTGTTTCCCTTGTCAGCATTTTATTTCAGTTAGCGTCACCACGACCTCTTCCCAATCTCACATTTTGTTACAAATCTCTTTACATCGCTTTTCCAATCTCAAAACTCTTATATCTAGGACAATGTTCGGCAACCCTCTGAATTGATGGGCCGATTTTTTAAAAAATAATCTTTAAATAAAATAACATACGACTCTTAAATATGTCATTTGCAGATATAAAATCACATCATAGGCCCAAAGTGTATTTTTTTTTAAAGTTTCCTTACACAAACAAGGTTACCAACCCTCGTTCTATGACAAATCTTGTGAACACAGAAAATATTGATGACTGGTTTTGGAAAAGACTTTAGTTCACCGATTCCCTACTTATGAGTTTTGGAATGACTCATGCGACAAACTATAAAAAGGAAGGACGTGGACCTCGTGTTTGAGAGCCTCGGACTAGATGAAACTGACTGTTCCATGGCTGGCATCCGTCGTTCACAATGTGACGAAGGTGTGGACTTCGCCAGACGAACTCCACAAGGCCTGGGATTATTCTTTTTAGGATTATCAGCTGGTTCCCAACACAGCAAATCGTCTCTCTCCGCGCCGCTGGATAACCCAAGGGAACATCGTGTGGAGGGAACATCATGTGGATGATACAGCTTGGCACCAGTGGCGTCACAGGAGTTGCCGGAATGTTCCATTGTGTCAATGTTATCTACCTACGGGACTCCATCTCCGGGTTTGAATTCAGAGTTTTCAGAGGATAACGAGCCCCGTGATGTTTTTGCTTGACTGTGCTTTGGTGGGAGTTGACCTCAATACCGTGAACTTGAGGTTCCACCCAGCACCCATGGGCCTTTAATGTTAACGTAAGAACAACCCATTTCATGAGAGCAATAAGATGACCAACATGTAGGACGCAATCACTCAGATATACATGTCACTGGAACTGGAAGATGAGAGAGAGTTGGGGAAGGTTACAACGGGTGGCGGCTGTGACGAATAAATCAAGGCAAGAACTAGCAAAATAAATAAGGATTTTGAATGTTCTCATCCACAGCATCAAAACGTACAGCTCAGGAATAACCGCAGAAAATGCCGAAAGATCTTTCACAGAACGATAGAGGGGAATCTGAATCTCAGGAACAGAAACTTGACAAAACTGTAACCGAAGCAGACGATTTACAGAAGTGGCATTCGTCAACCGTTGCCCCAAGCAGCAGTCAGAGCGCTGGGATGGTTGAATGAGTGAAGGTGAATGAGTGAAGGAATGAGTGAAGGAATGAGTGAAGGAATGAGTGAAGGAATGAGTGGATGAATGAGTGGTTGAATGAGTGAAGGAATGAGTGGATGAATGAGTGAAGGAATGAGTGGATGAATGAGTGAAGGAATGAGTGAAGGAATGAGTGAAGGAATGAGTGAAGGAATGAGTGAAGGAATGAGTGGATACATGAGTGGATGAATGAGTGGAGGAATGAGTGAAGGAATGAGTGGATGAATGGGTGAAGGAATGAGTGGATGAATGAGTGAAGGAATTAGTGGATGAATGAGTGGATGAATGAGTGGATGAATGAGTGAAGGAATGAGTTGATGAATGGGTGGATGAATGAGTGAAGGAATGAGTGGATGAATGAGTGAAGGAATTAGTGGATGAATGAGTGGATGAATGAGTAAAAGAATGAGTGAAGGAATGAGTGGATGAATGGGTGAAGGAATGAGTGGATGAATGAGTGAGGGAATTAGTGGATGAATGAGTGGATGAATGAGGGGATGAATGAGTGAAGGAATGAGTTGATGAATGGGTGGATGAATGAGTGAAGGAATGAGTGGATGAATGAGTGAAAGAATTAGTGGATGAATGAGTGGATGAATGAGTAAAAGAATGAGTGAAGGAATGAGTGGGTGAAACGAATTAATTAAAGAAGGGATGAGGATTTATTTTATTGTGTGGACTGTGGGGCCACTTTTCACTTGCACCTGTTCTCTTCTTCTTCTATATCTTAAGGGCCCACGATCAATTTATTGATCATTTTGGCTCCTATGCATGTAGATGGGATTTGCCATGTTTCTGTTACTGGTGGTGATGAGGAAATTATGCACTAGGGGTTTGAAGGCTTGAGGCAATAGACACAAATGTGTCTAGTGTTCTGACCAGCATCCTGGATTTGGGACCAATAATCTCTATCTAGGGCTTCAGCAGGTCAAGTCCCACGGGTAGTTCTGGGAACCACTGATTTAAATAATTTAAAAAACAGCATTCAACAAAAAAAATAATAAATCCACAACAGATGTGTGTATCTTCAGTGATGACAAATTAGACACACTGCTAGCTAGGCTGAGTTGATAATGTCAGACTCGTGACAAAGTTTGTAATTAGATGTGATTTAATTAAAGATTACTTTGTGACCTTAAAATCACACGTTCATAATGCATTGAATGTAATGTTGATCCCCCCCACCCCCAAACCCCCACACATGCACTTACTCCCCCATTCCCGTGTTACGCTGTATGTTAGACTTGTAGGGCTAAGCCAATGAATAAAATCGCAAAAATGAGGTAGCAGTCCTTTCATTTATATATGGCTAAGCCAGCATTCAATTAGATCAGCGGGTCTCAAGCAGTTTGGCCGTGTACTTAAATTGTTTGAGGCTGGTTCAGTGGAAGGGATCGTAGTGCCACACTTCGGCATGTTCTAATTCATCAAGAATTATTTTTCTTCAAACGCAAAACTGTATTGCGGTCTCTTGTCTTTTAAACATTAGAAAGAAAAAAAAAAGGGGGGGGGGGGGGAATTTAGGTCTACGACTTCTAAATGGGTTGAGAATCGTTATACCCTTTAAGCTAACATTCAATCAACCATTTAATTTAACTCTTCCCAAATGTTTACTCCACTGATTCTCAGACTGTGGTGGGAAGACCCATTGGAATCTTGTCTTACTGTGTGACAAACATTTTTACGAAACATAATTATTAAGCACGATCACGAGTGTAGGCAAGGGCCACGGTTGTGTTTAGATCACAGTCTACAGTTGTGTTTAGATCACAGTCTACAGTTGTGTTTAGATCACAGTCTACAGTTGTGTTTAGATCACAGTCTACAGTTGTGTTTAAATCACAGTCTACAGTTGTGTTTAGATCACAGTCTACAGTTGTGTTTAGATCACAGTCTACAGTTGTGTTTAGATCACAGTCTACAGTTGTGTTTAAATCACAGTCTACAGTTGCGTAATTTTCATTTACCAACAAGCACTGATTTGGTTGTTTTAAGAATTCACTTTGCGAATGGCCGGGGTGTGAGAAAACTAAACACCGTGGTTGACTTGTGTCTTGGTACGATACCCCGGTCTCCACCTACGTACGTCCTACTTATTTTTCTCTTTCTTTCTTTTTTTTTTAAATGTGTTTGAAACCTCGTCACAGGAGAATGCGCACCCATGTCAACGTACATCTACGGCGCGGAGCTTGTTGACACGAGGGAGGAGCGGCAGACTGCTCCACAGTTGGGAACTAACGGCCCGCAGCAACTCCAGGGGCCTGTCTCACAGCCGTGGTGTTTTAAGATAAGACCTGTCCTCGTAGCTCTGTGAACGGTAGCGAGGATCAGTCCGATCTCGTGGAGACATAATGTCATTTCCTCTGTTATGTACGGGATCGATGCCACGGGACATGAGTCGGCAGAAGTGTGACTATGGCTAGCCATCGGCGGTACGTTTCCATTTTAGCGTCATGTTGTTAGGTTCGCCCAATATGGCGGAAAGTTGGGGGGACTCCACTACAAGCCCGTCCCTCCCCACCAACGTGAAGGAGCTGCTGTGGGAGGAGAGGTCAAGGACGTTACGTGAGCTACTCGCAAGCTATCGGCTGCCGTTGGCTGTGAAATTAAAAAGTGGGGATATCTCTAAATATTGCGCCCAGCCCGCTGCAACAAGTGCTTCAGATGTCAACAAGGACGCTTCTTCAACGGCGACCACCACCGGCGCCACCTCCATGGCGACACACCCCGTCCAGTTCACACTGGGTCGGGACGCCCTCTCGCTCAGCACAGACGGCACCCAAAGGGGCAAGGATAGCCCCACAGGTGCGGATGATGGTTCCGGGGGCAAGGATAGCCCGAGGAACCAAACGAGCCCTAATGATCTGGTTCTACAGATCCACGAGACGAGGCGGAAAAAGATCATCCTGGCACGAAAGATGACGTGGGAGAAACGTCAGAACGATTATGTGGTGACGGGTGAGCAGGTAGAAATTCCTGCTTCATACAAAGGTGAGTGCATCATCAAGGCTTAGTTCGTGCAAGTATGCCTAGTACACATATGTAACTTGTACACGTTTGTCTTGTATATGTGTTTGTCTTGTTAAGTTGTATGTGTGTGTGTGTCGTGTAAACGT